TTGCTAGATAGGGAGTCCAGAACCCATTGAAGATGGTGAAACGTGCGCCATGAGGGTAACGGACCCTCCTTCCTTCAGGTGTGACAAACTGCTCTGGTTATGGGTCCATCACTCTTTAGTGGCATCGCTGAGTTAGGTGGCACAGTGTGGACGCCGGTAGGTTCTGGGTTCTGATCCCGCTGTACTCTCTGCACTTAAAGTGTTTAAAGAAGGAGCTAAAATGACTTTTAATGCATTTTTTAATGCACTATTGCTGGTATTTTGCCAGTGCCGCTGTGGTAATGGTGCGGACAGCAGTTATAATGCAGAGAGGCTGAGCATGACTTTCATTCCGAGTTGTTTGAGGGCCGTCCCATGCTCAGAAGGCAACCTGGGCGCCTCTACGTGTCACAGCGGCACCCTAACGGGCTTGGGTCACAGCTGCGACGTTGCGGCCGACGCCGCTCTCGGGATTTACCGCTTACAGTCTGAATTTGGAAACATCTGCACCGGTTGGGTTCAAGTGGATTTAGGATGGACTCTGACGGATTCGCAGCGGAAAGTGTCTGCAGGTTTTACTGCAGCGTGGAAATCAGCATCTATAGTGATGGGGGGAGGGGTTCACACCGACTGTCCCCCATGTCTGTCCTGTCCTGGCTAGAAAGGGACCGGAAAGTGTGCCGTTAGCGGTGCTGAGCAGACATCAAAGGCACTGGTGTGTTACCCGCGCCCTCACATCTGCCCTGCCTCTCGTCGCAGCTCTGCTTTCAGCCTCCGCTCGCAGCCAGTAATGCGATAATTGTGGAAACGAGCAACGTAATTACAGTATTATTGGCATTGGGTGTGGAGTGATGAAAGGTGGCTGCTGTCTCCGGTGTGATGTTTGCTGTAACCCAACCAGTGTGGCAGGACATGATAAACGCCTCAACGCTGCCCACCGGTCTGGACGCCGCTCTCTGGGGTCTTGCTCATATATGCTCTTTGTCTTCATGACCTCCGACTACAAGGTTTTATGAGTCAGAGGTCATCGTCCTGTCTGTGAGCTTGCATGCAGACTGTGAGTTTGCTGATGGTGCTTTCTGGAGCTGCTGGTGTAGTTGAGGCCTGATGACTGGTTGGATTAGCAGTCACCCTTCTGCTCCACCAGACTGAGGAACACTAACGTTTCTGTAACCTTCTTTCATGCTCAGCGTTTACATTACACCCTGTCCTACTGCGCTGTGTTACTTGTGGAGCAGTCCGCAGCTTCCCACGGGCCACATTTTTGGAAGTTTGAGGTTTTTCCTCAGTGTCTGTGATTTTAACAGTGTATATTTACGGCAACGTCTTATCCTATGTCTGTGTGCAGTGACGGCACAGGACAGCGAGGCGTGCGCACGACCTGCAGGCTCCATAAATGTCACGCGACGTCTCTGCATGCGCGGCCCTGTGGCCGGGAGCACGAGCTAGGACGATGCCAACCGTGGCGTTAACCGTCTGCCAGGAAGTATAAAATAGTGACCGTCACGGGGCTGACCTGGATAACCGACTGGTCACTGTGACATTAACATCACAGAAATGGTGGCGTGCTGGAAGATACTAATGCTGATGAATATTAGACACAGTAGCTATAATGACAGTGACAGTAGGGGTGTGTGTGTGTGTGTGTGTGTGTGTGTGTGTGTGTGTCCTGTGCTTCCTGGGGTGGGTTCCAGGCTCGCTGCACTGTGCCCCTCGATAAGCGGTGATGGATGGATGGAACCAGGCCTCCTCCCTGGGCTTATCGTTGCGGTGAGGCGATGGAAAATGACAGAGCTTGGGGGGGGGGTTAGGGGTCTGCTGAAGCTCAGAGAGATGCCCATTTGGGTGTAGTGGTTCTGTGAGCTTCTGGGGAGGGGACATGGACCATGAGGCTGTGGGGCTTGTTGCGTGGTACTTTGGCACGTTATGGGACACCCGGGTCGTCATCGTGGTACTTTGGCACGTTATGGGACACCCGGGTCGTCATGGTGGTACTTTGGCACGTTATGGGACACCCGGGTCGTCATGGTGGTACTTTGGCACGTTATGGGACACCCGGGTCGTCATGGTGGTACTTTGGTGGGCGGGGCTGTTCTTGCGACAGACGGGTCAGGTGATGGCGGTGGAGGGTTCACTGGCCACACCCACAGGCGGGTAGTATATGGAGTCCTGAATAATGAGCCCCCCCCACCACCACCACCACCATGCAGTGCATGTTTAATGAGGCTGCTTTGATCGGGAGGGGTGCAGTTCATCACTGTCAGGGGCCATTTTGTTCATTTACTATTTTCATTGGTCTTTTTGTTCATTCAGGCAAACTTTAAGTGTAAAATAAAGATGGGTGTGCATTGTCCGGGGGGATCGTGACCCGTACGCCCCGCTCTCCATGGACCCAGGCTGCGGGTAGGATACAGCCAGTCTGCTAATCAGGCTAAACCCCCCCCACCACCCCGTCAAACAACCCGTCATCGGGTGTAATAAGGCCGGTGTGGGCCTGGCACTGAGCTCACCCCCCAGGGGGGTGGATGCCGTCCCCCTAATTGCCAATCAGGAAAGCTGTAAATCATTCTCCAGCTCAGAGTATCTGTTTACAGCATGTGTTGTAAACATGGCGCCCGTCTGGGCTGTATCTGCAGCAGACAGCTCTCACTTCTAATATCTGTGCTGAAATGGGATCTGATAGGCTGGGCTGCCCACCTGTGACGGGGGGGCGGGGAGTGTCGCCGGATGCCGAGGAAATACGCAGTCACTCACCGCCCCAGTGGGATGATGGTGCAGTTCGGTTCCTCCTCTGATGGTGGAGGCAGGAAACGGTTCTTCAGGGCTGATGTCCTTGTGCGAGCAAGCGGCACGGATGAGCTTCCATGGAACTCCGAAGACGTCGTGCTAGATGTTTCAACCTATGTTACTGCCGCACAGGGACATCTCAGGGGATTTTATCACCAGTCCTGTCTCCCCGCACCCCCAGCATGCCCTGCCCGCATCCCCTGGTTGCATTCCTTAGCACTCCCATTTGTGGTCTCTGTCGCAATCCCACTTCCTGTGGATGACTAAAAACCGTGGTTAACGGCCTCGACTGGTTTGGAGGGGGGGTAGTCAATGACTGGACGCTGTGTTTGAGGGGGGGGGGGGCAGTGTGGCTCTTCTCTGCGGTGACCTCTGGTGTTTCGGCAAATATGGCCTTGTTCATCTTCCTGGGGTGTGCTGGCTCTCTCCGCATGGGGGCTGGATGCCCTTATCTGGGCTGGTTTGATTCCGGCTGTCCCCTGGTCTGTGTGATTTATAAAAAGGCGTGCTCTCCCTCGATTTTCCTCCCTGGTCTGGCTGCGGCGCCGACAGTGATAACGGATAGCCCCTGCTTCTTCCCCTTCGCTGGGTGGGGTTTTTAGTGCTCTGTTGGCCCCACCCTCACCCGAGAAATGGGACAAAATTCCCAATAAATCTGCTCCCATGTGGCTCCATTTGGAAAAGATTCCCGAGGTTTGTGAGAGGTCTGGCGAACACCTGAGCGCTTTATTACGCCAGACTCCGATCCCAGTTCAGAGGCGCGTTTCAGCGTCCCGAGGGTGTTGGAATGCGCGCTGTAATGCGCGGCTGCTTTCATCACGCCGCAGCCGTTAATGCGGCCCAGTGGTTTCACTGCCTTGTTCCCTGACTGTGAGGTTTGGAGTGGAGGGTGGGGGCGTTAAGTAAATAACCACCCTTTTGGGGGGGGTGGGGGGGCATGTGTGTTGGTGCATGTGTGTGTGTTTAAAACATAGCAATGAGAGCCACTCTGCTGTAAGTTTCCATTTATCGAAACTCATAAAGAGATTAAGAAAACACACGGCGGGCATTTACACATCTTCCCGTGGTGTATTAATGAAGCCCAGTCCTTAATTAGCGTGTCTGTGCTTTTTGGCCCACCCTGCTATCCGTTGTTTGGCTTTGAATACCTCGCCTAGGCCTAGCTCGCTGCTTCACGGTGCCGTGGAGCCCGCCACGCCCCCTCCCGCCTCCGCCACCACCCGCCTCCGCCACCTC